TAGGAAATGAGGCTTTGAGATAAAGAACGATATAATATCCAGTATTTTCAGTCAAATAATCAAAGCAAGTTAGTGAAAAGACATGGTAAACACTAAGAATAGTGAAGGACTATAGCTAGGAGAGGGAACTGCTGGAAGAATGTAAACTGTGTTGCTGAGTAATAGCATCCTAATTGAAGCCACGAAAGCCGAAGAATCTAATTAGTCAGGAAAACACATTTCATTACATTCTTAGTAATTTGTTTTGAAAAAATCCGACCAGATTTTAAATTTAACAGATTTTCAATATGTTCAGAGCAGATTACACTGTTTATACTTGCATACAGAGAAAATTAAAAATATAGTTTCAGAGACCTATACAAGAAAGCGTTTAATTCAAAATTGTGTTTGCAGTTGTCCCTTACTATCTGGGTACCATTACATAAAGTTCTGCTGTGAGGATGGAAAAAATAAATTACGACTTTTGTTGAGTTGGTAAGCATTATTGGAGACCATCACCCATTTCTTTAATCCACAGGCAGTCTGAGACCTATTTGAAGCTGTAGCTCAACCAAAAAAAAAATGCCAGGAGCATTGTCTGCGCACCCTCCTGCCTTCTCTCCTTCTCTCCCTCCTTGTCCCTCCCTCCTTCCCTTTCCCCCTCCTATTTCTGGACAAGTTTTCACAATGAAATTTTTTTCACAAAATGTACAGCTAGATCTCCAGCTAGACTGAAGTAGCGTTACTCGTTTCATTTACATTGAGCTTTCAAAAATGTGTATTTTTGGTGCACTTATATACCAATGATTACATGGTAAGACCTCAAACTGGTAGGTTTCTTGTATCTTGAAAGTTTTTGTCAGACACTGAATAGGATAGAAGAAAATAAAAATTATGCTTAGCATTAGGATACTTTGCTCATGCAAATTAATAAAAAAAACAATTATGCAAAACCATAAAAGACTGTTCTTGCAGAGGGCAAATAAAAATTCAGTGTTATATCCTCTTGGAAGTTTTAAATCTTGAGCATGGGTAAGGTCAATAACATGGACAATTAAGCCTCCCTCTCATCATCTTTATTCTATAGTGGATTAATGCATTATAAAATCTTTTTATGCACATTTTCATCTATTTTTGAGATCCCAGTTAATGGGTTTTCGGAAGTATGCACTTTTTATAGTTGTCCATATAAACTACATTCATAATAACAAAGTGCTATTTTAAGTTCTTCAGAGTCACCATTACTTGTACTGACATCAGAAAGATGATATTCCTTGATCTGACATAAACAATATATGGACATATTTAAATTTCTTCACGGTCTTTTTTAGATAAAAATTCAAACATCTTCAAACTCAAACAGTAGCTCAACCATCCTTAAGACGAAAAGAATGAAAATAGAAGTCTCTAGGCAAAAAGGAAAAGAGGATGCACCTGAAAATATATGCAAAATTTAAAAGGAAATACATAACACGGATGAGAATGAACTCTGCAAGTCTTGTTTGCAACACAACCATCTTTCATTAAAATATTCCTCCCATGTATAAGGATAGTAATAGTTTAGTATATATATTAGCATACTAATAACTTCAGCTGGACTATTAGAATTAATAATGGATTAACCTGCATGAGTGAGAATCCCTGCCTTGCTAAGGCCTAGGCTGGTTCTGTTGCTTCCCATTTTTTATAAAATGATGCATTTGTTACCAAAGTTCCTCCCACATGCATTGCAATTGGAGTTGTTCTTTCTTCCTGCAATGACCTGCTGCACGGTGTTGCTGTGCACCGCTCCACAAGTACATGGCTGCTGCAACTTTTGGTGAAGTAGCTTTATCCTTCTGCACAACACTCCTAAATTCTTAATGGACTTCTGCTCCTATGGTGTCCATCAAAGCCTGCTTCTTTGGCCACCTCTT